GTGTCCAGAGACGTGATAGCAGGAGGGAAGGTATGGGTACAAGGGGATCAGAGAGCAACGACGTCCGTCACCACGCTAACGCTAACCCTAATCCTAACCTTACAGCCTAAAAGGTGCATACATCATTTGGGGGAAAAGATCTGTTAGGGTTAGTGGAAAGCAACGTTTTAACTCTCCGGGAGTAGGTTTTATTACATGCTAGTTTGTTCTTTCGATGTAGGGATCGAGGCAAGCAAGGTGTAAAACCCTACCTACACACCGCTCCATGTGCTGGCCATGTCCTCCAGCCGAACATAATCCGCAGGACGACACAATAAGCGTTCATTGCTTGTCGAGGACAACGACCAGATATGATTCCATCGTCCGCTCAGCAAGGCGCCGATCCTACCAAAGCCGGAATTTTGCGTCACGACAAAGTAATCGTTCTCTGCGAGGCCAAGCATGTCAGCAGCGGCAGATCCAAGACCCATCATGATTTTATCAGCTTCCTCTAAATCTTTGGGTTGAGTATGGGCAACATGTGTGTTCGGCTGGGTGGAGGTGACGAGTAAATCTGGCCCGAACCTCTCCAGCGCCTTTTCTTTTAGCCGCTGCGAGTCCGACACTAGATACCACACGACCTTGGTCGTTTCCGAGGTCCTCTTGTGGCGCTCGATTGTACGGGCGCAGTCGAAATATGGCATATAATCTTCGAATTGGACATCATCGGTATGAGAGCGGTATACTCGATCACCGACGCGGATCTGAATGCCAATGCGTAGGACATTCTCAGGCTTGGAAGACGGATCCTGCCCTTCAGTCATGCTATCATTCGCGTGGGATGGAGGGTGCAGACGGCTTTTGGCCAGTTGCCATCCTGGGGCGCTCCGCGTGACCTGGCTGGGGGCGAATAAAAAACGGAAAGCGCACGCAAATGCAGTTTCAGGTCGAAGCCCGACATCATAGAGCTTCTGACTGTAGTGCGGATTATTAAAAATTCGTTGAGTACAGCCCCGATTCGACGTCATGAAAAGCACTGACTTGTTGTCCTCCACCTCTGGGATGGTACTCAGGTTTTCAGTGGAAAGAATGTCGTAAAAGCCATTGATCAGGCGCATGCTTCCGTACTCGCTCAGATTGGGAACCGCAGGGTGCGTAGCGGGGTACCTTCTTTCTCCTTCATATTCAAGGTGTAAATGCTGAGTAAGAACCGGTGAGTCGCCCGCAGGTCTCGTCCAATTGACGAACGGGGCGTCGAAAGCAGCCTCCAAAGGTGGAAGAGGCTGCCCTCCCGTGCTTATTTGAAACGCCCTCCCAGTGAGGAAAGCCCAATAGAACAAGGTTATGACTCCGACCAGTTGGTCTGCCAGGCCGTAGTGGGGAAGGACTGCGATCAAATAGCGCGGAGGGCGTTCGCCTGCGAGGATCTGGCGATGCAATGCCATGTATTCCTCCTGCCAGTCGCCACAGCGACGAAAGGATTCCGGCCGTTCACATCCCGCGGTAGATTCATAGGGGGATTCCCTATTTCTTCTTGATATGCTCTTGAACAGACTTAAATTATGGACGCTTGGCTCTTTACGGTTGGCAGGCACTTCAGGGGGTAAGCTTGCGTAAGACGTGTTCCATACAAGTCGATCGCTTAGCCTTTTTGACACGGTCCATGGCCCATTGAAAGCACATGATATCAATGTGCCCAGTAGAAGTGCTATATATGGCCAGCTCCCTCGCGCCCTGCCGTGGAATGTTCCGCTTCGATGAGTAGACATGGGCCAAGGAAATCAGCCCTGTGTGTTTTACGGCAATGTATGCTCGTCTCCCTGGACCTCCCAAAAGTCGATGCGAGAAATAGATAATACCTTTAGGTTGTATGGTACCGTTTTACTGCAATGAGTGCACATGGTACAAAAAAATGTTTTGAACGACATGTATTTCCTGTGTCATATTTTGCATCATGCGGCTTTGGGGCGATGGCCCTCAAGGTCCTCGCTGGGTCGCCGAGAAACCGTTACACTTATTGTTCCCCGCTGCAGCACCACCATTTTAGCACTTGGCCGGATTCTTTTTTTGCTTTGCTGTGTTTTAAGGTGCACGTGCCTGTTGCATGTGGATGTGGTTCATTTTAATTCTGGTATCGTGTAGGTTTCGAGGTTGAATTTCCCATGAATTTTGGTAGTAAAACCCATTCGATGCATTGCGTACTGACGAAGTAAAGCTTCAGTGATACTTTGCATACTGACCAGCGATCATGCAGGTCATACCTTTTAGAAAGACATAAACGGAATTTGTCTCCAATTGTTCGTCAAGAATATCTGCATATCTACAAGAGTCCAGTAAGGATGCTTCAGAGCGATGAAAGCTGCTTTTGTATGCGTTGGCAGGGGACGGACATGCTGTTTCCCCCTCACCTCGCCCCCACACACAGGGTGTGGTCACCTGAACATATATAGAATCCTTCTACAGTTTTGTGGCATCTTTGTTAAAATGTACGAAGGTGTGTGTGCAGGAGGAAAAAATATCAATAAAAGCCAATTATGCTGGAAGAAATTGTGGGCTTTTGGTTACTTGTTTGGGTACCAAGACCCTGGGAATGCGATTGTTTGAAGCCTCGATTCATCTGCGCGTGAAAATATTGGCCATCCGTGCACGTCTATGAAGCCATGAGTCTCCTCCAAAGCGACGGTTGCGTATACACATACACAATGTGGATACGGACCAACTCTCACGATGAAACTTACCAAACGATTCGAGCCACGCCATGCTCTCAATCATTGGGCCCCACACTCTCAATCCAGGACGACCACGGGCTCAAACGCCCCCCGTCCCCCATCCCCCATGCCACCGACCTCTCGTCCCTCTCCCTCCGTCCCTGTGGTGCCCTCCCCCTCCTCGCCGTCGATCACCTCCACCGCCCTATACCTGTCCTCCTCCCCGTTTCCTCCCCCTCCCTCCACGCGCGACCGCTTGACGTGCCCCTCCCTCTCCTCCCTGGCCTCCCCCCCCCGCTTCCTGTTCACCTGGACCCTCAACGTACTCTTCACCTCCTCTTCCGCCGCATACAAATGCTGTGCCCTCTGGCGCTCGGTGGCTTGCGCTGCCGCCGCGGCCGCCGCTCCTTTCAGGGCTTCTTTCGCGCTCCCGCCCAGGAGGAAACCCTCCGGCGGAGGCCCCGCCCCTTCCGGCCCGCCCTCCCAGCGCTTGTGGTAGACGTGAAGTTGGAGGGTCAGGTCCTGGGAGACGTCGTCTACTTCGACAGTGCTCTGATCCCGGATGCCCCCCGCAGGGAGCGAGGCGAGGGCCAGGGGGAGGTTGCGACGCGCCATGGTCTCGTCCGCGTCCTCGCCCTCCTCGTAGATGATGTTGGTACCTCGAAGCGTGATGGTGGGCTGGGCGAAGCTCAGGGAGCCTTTCAAGACCTTCTCCACCAGGAAGCTGAGCGTGCTGGCCTCCGTGTCCAAGACCACGTCCAGGCTGGAGCGGTTGCAGACAAAGCAGGCAGGGTTCGGAGGGTGGAGGTTCGTAGGCTGCAGCAGGAGCCGCTTGCGCCCGGCGTAGGTGCGCACGATGTAGTTGACACGG